TGGAATATTTTTTTCCAGCCCTTCACTTTTAGTCTGTATGTGTCCCTTGCTTTGAGGTGGGTCTCTTGTAGACAGCATATATAGGGGTCTTGCTTTTGTATCCATTCAGCCAGTCTTTGTCTTTTGGTTGGGGCATTCAACCCATTTACATTTAAGGTAATTATTGATAGGTATGGTCCCATTGCCATTTACTTTGTTGTTTGGGGTTCGCGTTTATACAACCTTTCTGTGTTTCCTGTCTAGAGAAGATCCTTTAAAAACCACCTCTTAATTTCATTAACCTTTCCTATTTTTCTTAGTCTCTAATTTATTTTCATCCTGATCTTATATATCTTCTACTAATTCTGGGTTTTGTTTGACCATTTCCTCTAGTTACTTTAGGTGTAAATTTAAGTTGTTAACTTGGCCTTTTCTTGTTTCCTGTTGTAGGCCTGTATCATCATCAACTTTCCTCTTAGAACTGCTTTTGCTGTGTTCCTTAGAACTGAATCATTATTTTCCATTTTTCACTTATTTCTAAGTATAATTTCCTCTGACTTATTCATTTACTGTTGTTTATTTTCATATTCTTTAGATTCCAGCTGTTTGTATTTTTTTGTATTTTTTTCTTGTAGTCAATTTCTAGTCTCATACTGTTATGGTCAGAATTTTATTTATTTCTCTAATAAATATTAAATTTATTAAGGCTTGTTTTCTGGCCTAGTGTGCATTCTATCCTAAGTAATGTTCTCTGTGCACTTGAAAAGAATGTTGCTTTTGGATGGAATGTTCCATATGTAGCTATTAAATCCTTCTGGTCTAATATATCATCTAAGGCCAGTAATTACTGACTTTCTGTCTGGATAATCTGTCCACTGATTTAAGTGAAGTCTTAAAGCATTTTCCTGCTATTGAATTACTGTCAGTTTCTCTTTTTATGTGTGTCAGTTATTTGCTTTATATGTTGAGATGCTTCTATTTTAAGTATATATATATTTATAATTGTTATATCTTCACCTTGGATTGATCCCTTTATCATTAAGTAATGTCCTTCCTTGTCTAGTGTTACAGCCTTTGTTTTAAAGTCCATTTTGTCTGATTCAAGTATTGCTACCTCGGCTTTCTTTTCATTTTCATTTGCATGGAATATCTTTTTCCATCCCCTCACTTTCACTCCAGGTATCTTTAGACTGAAGTGAATCTCTTATAGACAATGTATACATGGGTCTTGTATTTCTATCCACTCATTCTCTGTGTTTTGATTGGAACATATATGGACTAAAGTCCCTTTACATTTAAAGAATTATTGATAAGTATTCACTTATTGGGCTTCCCTGGTGGTTCAATGGTAGAGAATCTGCCTGCCAATGGAGGAGACATGGGTTTGATCCCTGGGTCAGGAAGATCCCCTGGAGAAGAAAATGGCAACCCATTCCAGTATTCCTGCCTGGGAAATCCCAAGGACAGATAAGCCATGTGGGCTACAGTTCATAGGGTCACAAAAGAGTCTGACACAACTTAGCAACAAAACCACAACAGCAATTAGCTTATTGCCTTTTGGTTCATTGTTTTGGGGTTGTTCCATAGTTCTTTTTCGTTCCTTTTTCCTTTCTCTCTTCTGATTTTATAACTGCTATGTTATGTTCAGAATCCTTTCTCTTTTTGGTGTGTATCTATTATATAGGTTTTTGGTTTGTGGTTACCATGAGGTTCCTATATAACAATCTATACTTATAGATGACTATTTTAAGTTAGTGATATCATAAGTTCAAATGCATTCTAACAAGCTTACGCTTTTACCACCACCAGCCCCCACTATTTTAGGGTTCTGATGTCATATTTTACAGTTTTAAATTTTGTGTATCCCTCAAATCCTTATTGTATTAATAGGTACAGATTATTTTAATATTTGTCTTTTTAACATTTTTAATTGTATGTAATTAGTTGCCCTTTCTTGCTAACTATTCAGGGAGGAATAATTTAAATAAAGAGTATTAGGAGTCAGACGAATAAGGGGTGAACTATCATGAGTCAAAATCCTGTTTGTCTTTGGAAGTCATGGCTTGGACATTGGCTTTTTCTTTTGGTAATAATGGAGCCACTAGAAAGTCTGATCAGAGGAGTATCATAATCTGACTCTTATTTTGAGAATATTTTTGTAACTACTGCATTAGAAACTTACTGGAGTGGGTATCAGTTCAGTTCAGTTGCTCAGTCATGTCCAACTCTGCGACCCCATGAACTGCAGCACACCAGGCCTCCCTGTCCATCACCAACTCCTGGAGTTCACCCAAACCCACGTCCATTGAGTTGGTGATGCCATCCAACCATCTCATCCTCTGCTGTCCCCTTCTCCTCAGAATAGTTTAAGGTGGAAAGAAAGTATCTGGTTAAAAGACTATTGCTGTAATCCAGACAGGATATATATCTTGAACCTGACAGAAGTAGATTTGCATCAAATAATTTAATTCTGGATATATTTTGAAGATAGATCAAATAAAAGTAGACAGTGAATGAAGGAAAGAAAAAAAGTCAAAAGTGACTCCCAAGTACTGACTTAGCAACTAGAACAATGGCATTTCCAGTGGTATGAGGTGAGATGTCAAAGTGTGAATCAAGTCTGTGTAGAAAAGGAAATTGTAAGATTTGGTTGGAAAGTAGCCTAGGGCCAATGTCTTGTCCTGAGATGGAAACAAGATTACCCATCTTACACTTATGTCAGGATGAACCATGCTGGCTTCCCCAGGAGCCTGAGTACCATTTGACAGTCATAAAAAATCATGTCATCTTTGGAGAGTTCCTATATCTCTCTCTCAAATAAAAACTCCTCCCCATAAGAAATGTTCTGTCTTTACCTCATCTGTTACTTTTATGTTATACCCATGTTCTTCCTACATGTTTCACTCCTCTCCATTCCTCCATCACCAGGCCTGGTAGTAGATTCCATCTCCTAGATACTTCTGTCCATAATCATGACCTCTGCCCTCAGCAGGGGCATTTTCACCTGTCCCTGGGATCACTGCATTACCACTTAATGGGTCTTCCTGACTCCACTCCTGTAGCCCTTTAAATGTTTCTCCAATGTAGTCAGATTGATCTTTCTAAATTAGAAATCTGATCACATTTCTTTTTGTTTTAAACACAACAAAAGATCCTAGGGCTCTTAATCTGGCTTAAGCAATCCTGCCTTCCTCTACTCTTTCAGTTCTCCTCATTCTCCTACCTCCTACCCTACATTCCAAACATTCCAACCTTTTTAAAGTTTCCCAAACATAGTGTGTTTGATCTCATCTGTGAACCTTCAAACTTGCTTTCCCCCACTCTTCATCCAGCAGACACTCAGCCACAGTGCTCAGCATCAGTGAGCTTCTTGGTCTAGCACTCCTCCCTATTCAGTCCTGCCCTAGCACTCAGCTGCTTAGATGCTCACTGCCTGCTAGACTCTAAGTAAACAAGAATAATCATGTCTATTTTACTCTACATTATGTTCCCCACTTTCAGCAAGTTCTGAGCAGTCAGAACTAACAGGCACTCATTCCATATTTGTTTAACCAGTAATTCATCCCAAATGTTAGTTCTTTAATGAAATATTCCCATGGGCCCTCCATTGGAAGTGACTGTCCCCACTTTGGACCTCAATGGACTTTAACTCCACATCTGTTATAGATTTATTACCTTCTGCCTTTCAGTCTTACATAATTTGTCTCTATTACTGAACAAGTCTCCTCTTAAGTGCAGAATCCATCTCCATTCATTTTTATATTTTCCTTAGATTACTATACACAGAGCTTTATGTATACTCAGGCTCCAGTAAATATTTAATTAATGGATGAATTAATGAGGCTTAAATATTGTATTTCAGAATTTCCAAATAGGTCAATTTATGGAGCACATATACTTTGAGGTTGAAAACAGTAGGTGATAAATCCAACTGGGTAAGTTGAGGCAAGATAATAGGGTATCTACTTTGCTCAGCTAAGACAATAATTTGGAAACTGGAGATTTGTTGAGGATATCTAAACAAAGAAAGCATACTATCACAGCTAAGTACTTGGTAGATTAATGTGCCCTTAAGATAAATTCTGTGGAATTTGATGGAGTGCTATACTCCATCCATCCCCAGAATTTGGTAACAGAGGAAATGAATCTTGGTACTGGAGGGGATTCAGGTCCTTAAGGTCTTAGGGAAAAATGTGAATACAGAAGAGAATTAGGAATACTAGTAGTATTAGGAATACTATTTTAGCACCTGTTCTTGGTATTTCCTCTGGTTCTAATTCTTATAAATTGTTCTAATGCATTGTCAAATTATTCAGAATCCATAAAGAGCTGTAGTAGGATTAAATCTCAAAGTTAATCCCTAATTTGTTTTCCCATAGGTTCTCTGACTCTGAGAACACATCATGTGCAAGACTCCAAAATGGGATTTGTGATCAATGCAATCTATTCCATGGCCTATGGGCTCCACAACATGCAGATGTCCCTCTGTCCAGGCTACGCGGGCCTCTGTGACGCCATGAAGCCAATTGATGGACGAAAACTTTTGGACTCTCTGATGAAAACCAATTTTACTGGGGTTTCTGGAGACATGATCCTATTTGATGAGAATGGAGACTCTCCAGGAAGGTACTGTTACAGTTCTCCTCTAGACAATAGAGCCTGATCGATCTGTCTCTTGATTCTGTGGGGCCTGTTTCTCTCCTCTGTGGTTTATCTATGCTTCCCGGACATGTTTGCTTAGTTCTGACATCACAGAGTGAGTAAAGATGGAGAGAGGAAGCCCCATTTCCAGTGGCCAGGAAAAAGCGTGAACACTGATGTCTAAAACGTGCTCTTGGAACCATCACCACACTTCAGAGACCCAAACTTAAAGGCAGGAACCTCACAGTTTAGATGGATAATTAAAAGCCAGTTCATGGTTTCTCTGTACATACTTGCCCTGCTATTCTACGTATTCTGATCTCTTCTTGGGTCACAGAACTATTATGAAACTGGAAGAATTCCATTTCTGGTAATCCAGAAACAGGATTGAGGTGTTATTCTATGGTTTGTTGTAGGTACAGTAAGTTACAAGTCATATTTTATTTTAGAATCCTCCAGCTGGAACACTTTCTCCCTTCTTGAGGACTAAATGGCCTTTTTCTCTAAAATTTTACATTTCACTTACAGAGAGGAGCCTGAGAAATATGAACTCACCCATAATTATAGGCCAACCTCCAGGGAAGTCATTAAATACCTAGAACTTACCATCTTTCCCATCTTTCACATATAAGACTCTAAATTCTTAAGTGACTCTTCACATGAGACTTTTAATGCATGAGGGACAATGTCACTGAAGTGACATTCTGATTTATAGCAGGGCTGAGTCTTCCATCTGCCCTGCATTAGGACAGTCAGGGTCCTTGGGTTGGCCACTGTAAAACCCCTGCTATTTTTCTAGCCACAGCTTTTGCTTGACAGGTATGCCTGGAGAGGGTGTATTCACACTCTGTTTGCAGCTGATCCTGCCCAGAGAAAGTCCCATGAGTGCCTCCATGACTCACACGCCATGTGCCCACACATGGTACCAGCCACCTTGGTCTAGCTTGTTTCATATGCCTGATGCGAGACGGAGTTTGTCCCTGATGCAGGTCTTACTATCTCACAAGCTGAACTTCTACATGACAGCAGTTCCAAGTCACGCAGCCAAGAGGAAAGCTGGATGCTTTCTCTGTTCTAGCGAGTTGATCAGTACTGCTCCATGCAAGCTGTTTGCCAAGATAAGACTTTTCATATATTGTTTTCTACTTGGCAGAAATGTAAGCATTTACTCGGGGCCAAAGAGAGCTTTGCATTCGTTGTAAGACATCTTGGTGTTTGGTGTTTAGTTGTTAAGTCATGTCATTTGTGACCCCATGAACAAGTAGCCTGCCAGGCTCTTCTGTCCATGGGATTTCCCAAGCGAAAATACTGGAATGGGTTGCCATTTCCTTCTCCAGAACTTCTTAGGGCAGGTCAATGGATGAGCTCAGGCTGTAGGGTCAGGTCAAGGCTGGGCTCTGACATCTCCCCGTGGATTTATGATTTGTGTGTACCTCCCTGGAGCACTGACGTCAGCTTGGGGTTTGTTCATAGCCTTTGTGGACTGCAGCTCCATCCCTTCAAATGGTTTTCATGACATGTACCTAAGTCAGTTCCAGAAACCAGACAATGAAGAAATAGCTCAGATGGCTCAGCTCCATTCTAGTGGGAAAGCTTAACAGATGTGAACATTACTGTCTCATTCACAATCATTTGCAGAACAGGAATCTCTTTAAGACTCAGATGAGATTTATAAGTATTCTCTCATGGACAATATCCATAATATTTTCCAAACAATTTCTGGGAATTCACAGTTCTTTAGAGACTTCTCATTCATTACTAAGGTTGGATATTACAGTAATCTACTAATAAATGAGCAGAATTGGCCCCTGAGCATACAAGCCAAACTCAGAAAAAAGTGGTTTGCAGATTTTCTGTTTTTTTTTCCAATGAATCCAGGGATAGTTACAAGATAATTACAACTTATATTTACTGAGTGTGTGTTCTGAGGCAAACACTTAGCTAAATCCTCTACATTTTAATCCTATGAGGTAGGTAATATTATCGTACTCTTTTCTAGCTGAAGGCTCACAAACTGAGGCTTACAGAGATTAAATGACTTGCCCAAAGATACAGCCTAATACACAATAGAGTCAAGATTCTAACTCATCTTCTGGACTTCAACTCCTAACCTGATATAACAGCCTGCCAATTACAGTATAAAAATAAAAAAGCCCTTATTCTCCTGGAAATGTATTGTAGGCACTGCGTTGTTATTTCTCTGGAGTAAAAGTTGCAGCTGGATCAAAGGCATTTCAACCTGGGCCATAAACCAGAGGAGACTACAGTGATTAGGGGTTCCCCTAAAATGCTGGGGTTGTGAGAGGAAGATCCTAAACAGGGGAAGCTAGGAGAGGGGACAGCTTAGTCTGGCACACATAATTACAGATTGTTAGAGACTCAAATTCAATCATTGTTTTTAAGTCTCACATAACCAGACTATTATCAGTATACAGTTCTTCAACGAAACCCTTGGGCCAAGTGTGTTACAGAATTCTGAATTTTTGATTTACAAGTTTACAGTCATATAATGCCTCCAGCATACTGTGAAGCAGCACTCCTTAAACAATGCATTAATATTTCTACTGCAAAACATATGCATATTCACAGTTAAGTGTGATAAATGACGTATAAATAGTCTCATGACACTGTGGGTCAAGTTCTGTCACTAGATAAGTTCAGAATGGGTCATGATTTGCTGCCATGTGCATTATGAAAAAACTTATGGTTTTTAAGAGCTCTAAGGATTTTAAAATTATAGACAAGAAATATGGACCTTTACTATTTACCACCAAAGGGATAGATCACAGTTTGGCAAACTGTGCTCCACAGACCAAATCAGGTCTGCTGTTTTTGTAAATAAGGTTTTATTGGAACACAGTTTAATTTATTTTGGACTTTCCTGGTGACTCAGTGGTAAAGAATCTGCCTGCTGGTGTAGAGGATGCAGGTTTGATCCCTGGGTTGGGAAGATCCCCTAGAGTAGGAAAAGGGCAACCCACACCAGTATTCCTGCCTGGAAAATTCCATGGAGAGAGGAGCCTAATGGGGTCGCAAACAATCGGACACAACTTAGCAACTAAATAACTGCAAAAAGTCTCATTTGTTTAGATATTGTCTATGACTCTTTCACACTGCTCTAACCGTGTTGTGTAGTTTCAGCAGAAGCCATCTCACAAAGTCTAAAATACTTACTATCTGTCCCTTTATAGCCAAAGTTTTCCGACCCCAATAGATAAATAGGGAGTCCACTGGAAAATAAGGTTTAAGAGGCCCTGTTGCACCCGGGGCTTCCCAGGTGGCTCAAGTGGTAAGGAATCTGCCTGCTAACGCAGGAGATGCAGGCAGTAGACTTGGGTTCAGTCCTTCAGTTGGGAAGATCCCCTGGAGGAGGAAATGGCAACTCGCTCCAGTATTCTTGCCTGAAGAATCCCATGGACAGAGGAGCCTAGAGGGATACAATCCATGGGGTCGCAAAGAGTCAGACACACACATGTACATACACGCATGTTGATGCCTGTGAATAACCATAACTGAGCAGAGAACATGGAGAATCAACATCAGACTAAGTACAACTCACTATTTAAAGCAAAAATATAAACATTATATTGTAGGGGTTTGTAACTATGAGTATATAAAACAGACAACATGGCCTAAGAACAATAGATGATAAAGGCTGAGAATTCACAAGGTACTAGTACCTTCCAGCATTTCTACATTGCATAAGGTACTTTAGAAGCTATTAATTTTCAGAACTATTTTAAACATCATTCCTTAAAGTGTCTTTATACAATGACTTTAGCCATTGATAAAGGATAAAATAAGAAAGGATCAGGTCCTATCCAAATTACCTCCACATGCTCTAAACCTGAAGCTAAGATTAAAGATTTACCAAATTTCTCACTTAGTTAACAAAGGAAATTTATCATTTTATTTCAGAGGAGATGAAAACCTTGCTGTCTTTTTAAGAAGCCTAAAGAAGTACTTCTTTAAACTTGTTGAAGTTATTCCAAAACTGTCTTTCATCATGCTGAGGTCAAGTCACCTTCTCACATGGGATTATTTTCTATTTCAGGTGTAAGCTTGAAAGTTTAAAAAAAAAAAAAAAGGTCTCTGAAGAGAAAGTGAAACAGACAGGCTTTTTGTTATTCTAAGTGTACTGTCATGGAAAATTCCAGTGTCACTAATATGACAATAGGTACATTTTGGAGGACAGAAATCTATTGCTTTTTCATAGCTGAATGTTTATATTTTAGCTGAATAATTACTATATTCTTGTTTCTAAGGTATGAAATAATGAACTTCAAAGAAATGGGAAAAGATTATTTTGATTATATCAATGTTGGAAGCTGGGACAATGGAGAATTAAAAATGGATGATGATGAAGTATGGGCCAAGAAAAGCCACATCATCAGATCTGTGTGCAGCGAACCATGTGAAAAAGGCCAGATAAAGGTAAAATAGAGCCTGTGTTTCTTTCATTTTGTTGTAAGTTCAAAAGTATTCATTATCACTGAATGTTTTTAACAAGTTGAGACACTTGTTTTGCCTTTTCCACAGTAAGCTTCTAATGTCAAAAACATTTAATTCTATTATTAAGTCCTTTTAATACTTAGTAAAACCCAGAACAGTCTTAGTAGTTGGACTGACTGAACCAGCTGGTGAGTCATGCTTACACCCTGTCTACTCATGTAAGCCTTTAGAAGACATGCTTCCTGGGAATAAAGAGTTCACAGCTGGAACTGACATCAATTTCTAATTAACAGCAAATATTTATCAAACTCCTCTAATGTAATAGTTTACATCTGTGGGGCAAAAATAAGTAAGACACATTTACTCTCACAAGATTAATAGTCTCTATGAGGAAAAACAGTGTGGGCACAGAGAAGTAATGTTATATAAAATTTGATGACTTCATTAAAAGAAAGAAAATAAAAGGGAGCTTAAATAAGTTCTTACAGAAGAAAGGAACAAATGTCTTCTCAGTAAAATGTCAGACATTGAACCATGAAAAGTGGATATGATATCAGAGAGGGATGCAGGGAAGTCATCAATTGTATAAAGAGAAGAATAATAGGAAAAGTACAGAAGTGGTCAGATTGTTCTGGAATAACAGTGAATTAAGCTAGGGTGCAGTGCTCTAAATGGTTACTGTGAAAGAAAAAGCTGCAATGATAGATTGAAGCCATATTTGTGGAGAGTTCTAGATACCATACTAAACAGGTTGAACTCCCTTTTAACCAGGAGTCTGAAAAAATTTTGTCCAAGATGCTGACATATGAAGGCCAAAGTGTTAGTCAGTCATGTCCAACTCTTGCAAAACTGTGGACTGTGAGCCACCAGGCCCCTCTGTCCATGGGATTCTCCAGGCAAGAATACTGGAGATCCAGGGGATCTTCCTGACCCAGGGATCAAACCCGGGTCTGCTGAATTGCAGGCAGATTCTTTACCGTCTGAGTAGTGAAGATTCATGAGAAGAGTTATGAGAAATGAAGAAAGAAACAAGAGACAAGTTAAAAGAACACTGCAACCGTGGTGACAAGGGCCCTGAATTATGGAAGAAACAGAGAATGGAAAGTGGGTGGGGAGGTATTTGAAAGAAACATTGTAGAGGTAGCCTTGATCAGTCCTGGCTATCAACCATAAGCCAAAAATTTTTACTATCTGGTCTTTTGTAGAAAAAGGTTGCCAACTCCTAATATTCAGTGACCATCTGCATCTTGGCCAACCAGTCATCTTGCAATTAAACTCTTCATGTGAAACTCTTTTTAGACTCACTTAAAATATCAATTGCCCATAATTTCCAGTCCTTCCCATGTAAAGATTAGCTTGTAAATATTACCACATGGAAGTGGTCTGTTTTGACCCTTCACAGCAATACAGTTTGAACCTGTAACTTCAAAATGTTGAATCTTGTTTCAAGAGATTTCTTTATATATGCTTTTCTACTCCTTTCTCCTGGGAATAACTTACCCAGTAGAAGAACTTAACTCCCTGTTACCATATTTTCAATACTAGTTAATTTCTTGTAATGTTTATGTAGTCTTTTTTAATCCCAAATTCTATTTTCCTAACCAGATCTCATTTTCACTCCATTAAATATATAACTGACTACACTTTCTTGATATGGCTTAACATGGTCATTGAACAGCTTCCCTAATGATCTCAACACCTCACAGCATTGATCAAATTTGTTAATTTAGGGTCCATGAAAGGACACTTAGTCTGGCAAAGGGTCAAATATTTTATATATTGTTAATCATAAGGAAAGCACACTACTTCCAAGGTGTTCAAAATGATTGGAAATTGGTCTGAAAGAGAATTGTCACCACCTCTTGTATTCAAAATGAGTATGAAACAGAACATATATAACAAGTGAAAAAAGGTAAAACAAACCAGTTCTTAATGATCAGAAGAAGACATTACATTGTCACTATTAATTCAAAAAGATGGCAATAATTTGAATTAATCTTGGGTCATGAGCTTATTCTGGTAAAAAAACTGAAATTTATAAAGCCACGCGAGCTGAATCACAGAAAGTCAGCATATTTCTAAGAGGAAAAATGCAAGTGCTTTTGTTTGCCAGGCTGCTAAGAAAGAATCCTTAAAAAAAAAAAAAAAGAATCCTTCAGCATTTGAAATGTGCCTCCTTGCATTACAAAATCTACTAACTGTCTTAATGATAGTTTTTTACTAAGTGTGGTTGAAAATACCCTGAAAATGAAATCCGTATCTCTATGTGGGTATTTACATGTATATTACCAATAAAATAGTTAATATTTAAAAGTATTCAACAGTTTACAAGCGCTTCCCTGGTGTCTCAGATGGTAAAGAATCTGCCTGCAGTGCAGGAGACCTGGGTTTCATTCCTGGGTTGGGAAGGTCCCCTGGAGAAGGGAGTGGCTCCCCACTCCAGTGTTCTTGCCTGGAGAATCCCATGGACTGAGGAGCCTGGCGGGCTACAGTCCATGGCGTCGCAAGAGTCAGACGCAACTGAGTGACTAACACACACACAGTTTACAAATCATCGTGATACTCAATTCGCTCAGCTGTGCTTGACTCTTTGCAACCCCATGGACTATAGACCATCAGGCTTCTCTGTCCTCAGAATTTTCCAGGCAAGAATGCCATTCCCTTCTCTACAGATTTAATCCTCAGGGGACTCTAAACAGGTTTTATTTCAAAAGCATTAGTCTTGGTTGGAAGAAAGAGAATCAGCTGGGAGACTGCTCCAGGCTACACAATTATTTAGTGGCTCTAAGCAAGATGGCTTCCCTGGTGGCTCAGTGGTAAAGAATGTGCCTGCCAATGCGAGAGACCTGGGTTCAAACTCTGGGCTGGCAGGATCCCCTGCAGGAGGCAATGGCAGCCCTGTATTCCTGTCTAGAGAATCACAAGGACAGAGGAGGCTGGTGAACTACCGTTCCGTGGGGTCACAAAGAGTAGGACACAAATGAGTGACTGAACAACACCATAAGTAAGACTGGAACTCTATATAAACCAATAAGGCTCAATATTTATGAGCATGACCTCAAAGTCCAACAGACATTATTTGATCTCTCATTTACCCACATGTTGTGCGAACTCTCTAAGCTTTAGTTTTCTCCTCCCCCTACAAAAAAATGAATAAAATAAAACTAAGTACCTTATGCAGAGCTATTCCAAAGTTCCAATGAGATGACACCATATGGTATGCACCAAATTACCTGTAAACAGTCAATATTCTTATGAAGGAAGCTTTAGATAAATGAAGCAGGTCTGATTAGCAATTTTGCCTCATTTATCTGGTTATTTTAGGGAAAGGATGTCTCAGGTCCTTTTATCATCATTTCCTACTTATTTTCCTGGAGTGCCAAAAGTCAGCACGAGGGACAGTACAGAATAGAAGAAAGGCGTGCCAGTTTACAACTGTGTTTGGCTACAGAAATCCAGACATTATCATCAAAGGTTGTTAACAGAATCAGCGTCTCAGACAAGGAATCTGAAGTGTAATCACTTCTGTGTCTAGTCATTAATCACAGATTTAATTATTTATAGGAATGTTTAATGAATGCTGTCTCTATTCCACAGAGGCTATTCATGTACCAGTTGGTGGGGCGGGGGAAAAGAGTCACATTTCTAAAGAATAACATCTGGGACTCTTTCAGCTATTAAATTATTTCAATTATTTTCCATTGCCTTAAAAAAAAATCAAACAGATGAAGAGGAATATAATAGTCTCAGTGACCTTACCCCTCTTCATCCCAAGCAAATCAAAACTACTAGAATAGGAAGGAATGGGATGAACTGGTGAGCCAGATTTTTAGTAGAAACAGTCTAAGAAGTGATCTCCAGAAAAAGCATCTTCTGCCTCTGAATTCAAAACAAATTCTTAATTGCTTTATCAATATAGATAGATTTTTTTAAAACTTAAAAAAAAAAACAAGAAGGGTGGTTTTTTTTCCCCTAACAATTATTCAACTAGTGGCGGGAAGCCAAGGGAAGTCCAGAAAGCAAAAATTCATAACTTGAAGCAAAGAAAGGCACAAACTCTGGGGGAAATTCAGTTACATATACACATATCGAAATGTATACATATTTACTTGTGAGCACAAATACAGTCACTTCATTAATACAGGTAGCTAAAGCTAGTTATCCAGAGATTTACACTTAATTTCATTCTTGACCCTGTCTCCAACCAGTTTTATGATGTTGGATTGGTTGCTTAAACTCAGCCTGTTTCTTTATAAAATGAGAATATCCATATTCATACTGCCTAACCAAAAACATTTGAAATAATTTATGTGAAAGCCCCTTTCTGCTTTGTAAAGCAGTACATTTGAATAAAAAATTGCTGTATTTTTACCGATGTGAGAAAAAAAAATAATCAAAAATGTCGATATTTGCCGTAGGTGATCCGAAAGGGAGAAGTGAGCTGCTGCTGGACCTGCACACCCTGCAAGGAGAACGAGTATGTCTTTGATGAGTACACCTGCAAGGCGTGCCAGCTGGGGTCCTGGCCCACTGACGACCTCACAGGTACACGCATCACAATGTCAACACAGGCACCTCCCTCAAAACTCAGAGAGGATACAGACGTGGGAGGGGGGCACGTCTCCCAGCAGTCCTCATCGTGGTGGAACTGTTAATGCAACAAAGAGTTCCCTTGGGAACAGAAGCCTTCCCAACACCAGGGCTAATCATGAAAATCCTGTATCTCAGAGAGAAATCAGCCTACATTCCTGCCTTCACCGCTAAACTGGATCAGAATCCTTAGGTTGTCTACTGGGCATTTTCAGCCCATCTTTAGTATATTCCCAGAATTTGCTAGGAAGGACCCCAGTTAACTGTGATTTGAGGCATAGAGAGAGAAACACTGGCCAGGAAGAGACTAAAAGATATCATGGCATGTCCAAGGACCAAAGGATAGCACAGAATTAGGTAGAATTTGGTCTAAAACCCTGTGTTTCTCTTAGTGCTTATCCTTAACCTAAACCAGAAACCTCTAACTAATGAGTTTTCAAATAATGTCAACACAGGGTAAGATTCATCTCTCCCTGGTCTGGGGGGTACTTTGGGAGGGTTGTTTTTTGTTGTTGTTTTCGTGATGTTTTGGTTTAGGAGTTTTTTCCTCCAAAAATGTTAAGAAATTATTGTCATTGTCTTCTCAAAATGATATTTTATAGCTGTTTCTAATCTTTACAATATGAAAACAATGATATCTTCCATCTTTCCTTCCAATTTATTCAATAAACCTTTAGTAAATGCATATTATGCACCTATTTGCCTACCACTGATATATATAAAAATAAAGACATGCCACTCTATTGTCAAGAAGTTAATGAGAGGCAAAAAGTAAAAGTATGATTACAATAAAACAAAGGATGCAGATTTGTGAACACAAAGAATGAGAAGAGGACCTGTGAAACTAAGTTTTCCAGGAAAATAAGAGAAAAAGACATTCCAGGCAGAGGGCCCACCTGGTAGGTCAGGTCATCTAGTCATTTTACAATTAAGATGGATTTAACACAAACTCCTAGAGGCTAGATTATAACGTCACTGGTGTTCGACTGGATTCCTCACAGGACAAGAGATTATCCATGGTAGCTGTATTAGCTTATTGCAAAAGCCTGGTTCTAAAAATCCTGTGATTCTGGGCCCTCTGAGACCAGCTCACATTAGACTTAGTTTTCTGTAAGTGGTATTTATGCAGAAAACTTCCCTTTTCTTAAAAAAAAAATTAAAAATTCTGATTTAATAAAACACCCAAGTAGCATGTGACAGCATATGAGTCCAATTTTCACCACAGCTGATAAGCTTTCTGATACTCATAAATCCTGGTGTGCCCAGAACCACATCAGGGCGGGACACAGAGTGTTTATTAAACTTGGCTAAACAGATGAAATAATGCACACACACACATACAGTAAAAATGTAAGAAAAACAAAAAAAAACATGATTGGTTCTCTTGTGAGGGAAATAAAAATCAGTACTGGTGATCTGTTCCTTTATACTATTTCTTTACTTTTTTTCTATTCATAATTCCTAATTTCAATATGGATTATCATTAAATTGAACAACTATTTCACAGATTCAACTATCTACATGGCTAAGCCCCTTGAACATGAATATACCAGTATAAACTTTTGTCCTATGTTTTGTAAAACTATCACAATGAAACATGGTCTTCTTTTTCATTGATTCAGTAGAAAAGTATTTTATTATTACTATTTGCACTAGAATAATGTGCTGGATACAACTAGGGTTAAAAAATAGACATGGTTCTTACATAATTTACCATCTTGTTGGGAGAGAGAGAGGACTCTCCCTCTCCCTCCCTCCCCTGTCCCACATACACAGGCACAGACAACTTGTGTTAAGGAGTATGAAGCAAAAGAATACATTTTTTAGAAAATGAATATAGCAGGGGAGACATAATTTAAATTTGTGATCTTAAAAGATCTCTCTAAAGAAGTGAAAATTAGCAGAAACCTAAGTGATAAATACAGATATAGCTATCAAAAAATGATGAGAAGGGCATTTCTGGCTAAGAAAAAAGGTCTATTTATGGATAAGCCAATGAGAAAACGATGTGATAAGAGATCATAAAGATAGCAGAGCCTAGTTCAGATACAGCCTCATAGAACAGGTTCAGGATTTGTGTGGTTAACACTAATTGCAATGAGAAACCTTTGCAGGGAGTATAGTAGAAGAAGAAAACATGATTGGATGCATACTTCTAAAATATTATTCTGTTTGCTGTGGGAGAGGATAATTTGGAGACAAATGGAAAGGGGAACCAGGGAGATAGATGGGATGGTTAATACTGGTTGCCACTGCAGGCACCAAAAGTTCTTGGTGTCTTGGGCTGAATAGTGCATTGGAAGATTTCAAATATACTTTGGAGTAGAATCAACAGGACATACAGATGATTGGTTGCAATGGATATTAAGTAAGGCTGCCCAATTTTCTGCCTTAAGGACTGAAGAAATAAATGCTTTTTTTTAATAAAGATCAGTAGCTTGGTTTTAGACAAGATCAGCCGGAGATGTCTTTGAGATTTTCAAGTATGAATTAATTTAACAAATTAAGGCCTGAGTGTGTGTCAGAAAATGTAATAGAAAAACTGGAAATATAAAATTAGTCTAAGTTTCCAAGAAACTTTATAATCTAGTGGGAGAAAAACATGTAAACAATAACCACCTCTCCTGGGAAAGGGAAAGAGTCTTATCTCTTTCCCAACAAGATGGTAAATTATATAAGAACTATGTCTGTTTTTTAACTCCAGTTTTCCCAGCACATTATTATAGTCCAAATAGTAATAATAAAATTCTTTTCTGTTGAATGAAAAAGTAGACCATGTTCATTGTGATAGTTTTACGAAACATAGGACAAAAAAATTACATCTGTATATTCACTACCAAGTGCTACAGGGGAGGAATGAGCAGAGTATTATGGAAAAATAGAGAAGGGGCACACCTAACCCTGGAGAAATTTTAAAGGTTAGTCTTGAGGCATAGTCTTTAAGTTCACTTTTAAACCAGTGAAGACAAGGACCTCCCTGGTAGTCCAGGGGTTAAGACTTCAGGCTTCAAATGCAGGGGGCACGGGTTCAATTCCTGCTCAATTCCCACTTAATTCAGGGAACTAAGATCCTACCTGCTGCATGGTGTGGCCACAAAAGAAAAAAATAAATCAAAATTTTTTTAAGTGAAGAAGATCATATTGGAAAGAGTATGCAGCACAGAGGCTCTGAACGGCACCATCATTCTCCTCATTTCTCCAAACAAAAAGAAGTGAGTCATATAAACACTTCCCTCTTCCTGGCCACCCATATCCAGTCACTCAGCAAGTTCTCCTATTGGCGCTGCTAGATATTTTTATCCCTCCTCTCCTCTCATTTGTAAAACTTTTCCCTTGGCTAAGTTAGCATCTCACATTTGACTATTGAAGTAATCTCCCAGTTTATTTCTCTACTCCCAAATTTATGCTACATGCCTCTAGGTCTGTTTTTTCACCTTCCTACTAGATAATGTATCCAGAATACAAATCTGTCCATTGTATTTAATTGCTCAATACTTACCAGTGTCTTCATAGCTCTGTGGGATATAACCAAGTATTTCAACCTAGCATACAGAGTTCCCTCACCCTCCTACGACCTCTCTAATTTCATTCACCACCACGTCACGATTCTCAATTTACATTCTAGTATCAAGGGCTGCTTGTAACTCTCATCTACACACAACACTATTTTATTCCTCCCTGTCTGTACATGTGTTACCTTCCCTGCCTTATTTACTAGAATAATTCCTGCTCACCTCTGCCTAGATGTCACCTTCTCTCTGATACTTTCTTTGCTGTACTTAAGACTCTGATAAGTCCCCTATTCTTTATTTCTAAAGCAAATTCTGCTTCCCTCTTTACATCACTTTCAAACTGGATTTTAAGGTCCTGTATCCTTATCTCCACCCCCCGCCCACCACCGCTGAATCATTTAGTTTCTCAAGGACATAACTGTATCTCACTCATCTTTGCATCCCTAGCATCTAACACCATGCCTGACAGAGAGGAGGCCCTCAATAAGTGTGTGTCAATCTGCACTAAATGATGGGGAGTGTTAAAAAAAAAAGAAGATGAAAGTATTAGGGCCATCCTCTGAAGACAGCTTTAACTAAGGAGTGTGGACCTTATCCTATAGACTGTGTGGGGCCAGGGAAGTTTCTCAAGCAGAAGCATGAAATAAATGACCTTCCTCTTGCTACATGCATATGTGTGAGTGTGTGTGTATATGCAGGGATGGGGGGAGAAAGTGGGAGGGGAGAAGAGAGAATAAGTGCTAAACCTGGAAAGGTCTCCACACGGACAGTACATGAAGTTTAACTTTTAATTAAGATCTACAGCACTTTTCCAAAGAGCTTATAGCTGTTTGCAGCTATCTCACAGACTCTGATTTAAAGTCACTTGGCACCGGGCACTGCCAGCTAAGCCAGAAGACTGCTCTGATGGCTTCAGGTATTCCAGAGCTTGCTACAGAGATGCCTGGGTCTTTCTCTGCCTACTTGGCTTACCGTTGCCCCACTGCAGCCTGTAACATGACCGCTCAGGTCACTCTGGGTCAGTGCCCTCACTGTGATGATGGCAACTAACACACACATGATGTTCCCTGTGTGCCAGGAACTGGCTGAAGCCTCATACAAATGTTAATTTGTTTAATTCCGGTACAACTCTGTAAGATTGTTAGCACAGTTAGAGATCTTAGAATTAAATAACTGTCTACAAAAACAACTAGGAGAGGCAGTCAACTGACATTAATATCTATATAGCCATTTCTATATCTATATAGCCATTTCCCTGTATATATTCACAGAAAGATGTTTGAAATGAACGTTACCTATTGTTAAGAAAAAATGTTTATGAGAGGTAGGACTGTGGGTTACTTGTTTTGCACATACTCATACAGATGCATATAATATTGTATTATGAGGATGTATTTTCATCAATAACTCCATTAAAATAAATGTGTATGTGTGTGCATGCAC